CTGTGTTATGAACTCTTCTTCTTCGCCTTTATTACATATTATTATTATCATTTTTACCACTGTTTCTTCTGCTCTCCACTTCATTCTTTCACCGTTTCAGTTGGCTCTTCTCTCGGTGCGTTTGTGCATTCGGCATCGAGTTGGATAACGTTTTTTTTTTCGTTTGAATTCACTACCGTTAGACAGGCACGATAAAAAAAGGGGCATTTGATTTTAATCATACACAGCGAAATTATTATTCGGGTCGTAAAGTCAACAATATTTCGCGCCGACCCGTTCAATGATTCAGTCAGGATAGGAATAATATTAATTAGGCAAGTAATTAAAATTTGTCCGGCCCGAAAAAAAACAAACACAAGAAAAATGCTCGAGAAAAACGTTTCTCGAGAAACAAATGATTAATCAACATTTTTTACTTCGATCAATTTCTTGGTCGAAAAAAACTCGAGAATGCATTGATTTTGAAGCAGTTCATATATTTTCAGCCGTTAATAAAGTCGACAAAAAAAAAACGAAGAACAAAACGATGTGTACAAAACTAAATGTGCAAAAATTTTAAATACTGAGCAAAGCAGAGCAGCATATGTTCAGTCACAGGCCGCATCGATTTTGCACAGTCCTCTCTGTATGTGTGAATTTAATTCGAATATTTGTAGAACATATCATTTTGTTGTGCGCTGAATTTTCACCGTCGCAACCAACAGCATCAGCAGCACCACCACCATCATCATCATCATCAATATATATCTTACTTTTATTTTGGTCACAAATACGATAAATGCTAAAATCTCTGCAATTTATGCAAGCCAAACTGCTTTTTGGTTGCACAGCGACTGTGTGTACTGGCCTGTGTGTGTTGCTACCAGCAGCGGAAAAAAATGCACCCGATTTGATATTCGCAAATGAAAACACATAATTATAATAATATAACAAAAGAGAGACTCAAAGAATGCCAGAGTTAAGCAATAAGTTATTTTTTTTATGTTGTGTGTGCTGTGCGCGCGCAAGCGCGTCGCACATTTTATTTTTCAGGCTCAGCGCATGCAGCATTCCTTTTCTTTACATTGTTTGTGGATCCTCTGTGATGCTGTTGCTGCTGCTGCTGCTGTTGTTGCTGTCGATGTGGCGGCTTTCGGTTTCTCATCCAATTCTACACTCGTCGATCTTGTTCGTTCAGCGAATGAGCGCGAGCGATGTGCGCTCACAGGAAACGAAGCGATCGATGTACACGTGTGCTGTACCTTCTATTCCTTAATTTCATTATCCGCCAAACGATTTATTTAATGAACCCAAGCAGATCAATCTAGTATCAGCTGCACACGATTTTTTTCCCCTGATACAGCTACCGCATCTCTTCTCTTGCATTTTATATTACATGCACTTCTTCAGTCATTATTATTATATAAATTTTTTTGGTTTTTGCTTCGCTTTATATATAATCTTATTTTTATTCATATGCAAGTAAATTATTCGTTTGGCCGCTCAACTTTTTTTGTTTCGTTCGTTCGTCGATTTTATCTTAATATTGCATGCATCTTGATATACCTGTGACGAAGATGGTGGCGATTCAATTAAAGCACATTTTCAGCTGGTATGAAGAAATTTTGACGGATTTTTTGCAAAATTATTGGAGAAAACCTAGCAAAATTGGTCTAGAATACGAAGAAGCTGCCATAATCAATTGGTTTGAAAATAGACAAAACCGGTGAAATATTCGAAAAAGGACGAGAATCTTTGAAAAAGTCCAAAATCCTCCGAGAAAAAAGCGAAAAATCCTCATAAACAAAATGGGCAACAGATCCATTAAAAATGCCGACCAAAAAAAGTCTACATGAAATCTCGTTGTTGAAGCCAAATTTTATGGCTTTTTGATGCGTTCCGCAAAACTAGATTTGCATAACGAGTGTGTGCGCGCAAGAATAATTTCATGTAAAGTTATGTAAATTTTGGAATGCGCGTTTGTGGCAAGCAACGACGACGACGACAACAGCAAGCGAAAAAAAACTGCTTTATATTTTTGTTGGGGCCGTTGTGTGTAGCAAACGATTTTCCGAAAACGACAATAAACAATCCATCAACGAACCGAAAAGATGTAACAATCAATTCGTACTCCAGGCAGTAGCGAGCAGCGCAGCATCACGGTGAATACATTACCAGTGAATTTACCATTTGGTTGAGGTTTTTTTTCGTTGCAAACGTTTGCGTACGTGAACTATTTGTGAGCGAACCGGACCGAAAAAGACAGGAAAAAAACTTGTCGTTCAGCAATTTGATTGCAACTTTTACAGCGAGTCAGATCATTACATTTTAGCTGTGTGTACATCATCTTGCAAATCGTCTTTTTTTCGGTTGAGTTGGTCCATCGACAATGACGAAAACCAAAAAAAAAACCAGCAAAATAAAAACGAACGGTTACCTCGAAGTAAGGAATAAAATAGGCGATGGTTTGCGTGTTCTATCAATTTCATTCCATTGCTCCGTTTGCTCTCTTTCTCTTTCTCTCTCTCTCGTACATATTCCTTGATCTAAAAATATTTACGCGTATTTCACAGGATATTCCTTGAATGCTTATTTCAAATTGGTATGTGCCTGCGGCCGCAATCGCCTAAGACCTTTGCGTTGGAAAAATGCTGTGTTTTTTTTTCTCTTCTACTTCTTCTTGAAATAGAATCGCGATAAAATTGCAGAGAGCGCGCGATGGAAAAAAAAAGAGTCGGACATAGCGACAGAAACAACGGTGACGACGACAACGATACACACACACACAGTCAATATAATCACAAAGAGCAACCAGCAACGAAAAAGAGAGAAAAAACCAACAGCAACAGCACACCGTGCATGCAGACACGATACTCGATCAGAATAGCTAATAAAGCACAGTTGTTAAAAGATGTAAACGGGCGATAGCCGGCTAGAGAAATTTCCTTTGTTCTTTTTGCGTTTGCATAAGTGATTATCGTGCGCGCATGATTCTTATTTTGCCATCCTTTCGACAAGCTAACCAATTTTTTTTTTTTCCCTCCATCTCCTGGATGCTTTTTTTCTCGTTGCTGCTGCAGCATCGTTCGTCTGTTCACTTTGATCAGTGATTTGCTTGTTTCGAATTGGGAATTTGTTTTGGCCAAGCTTTTGCCATTTCGCGTAATACAACACAGATGAATAAAAAAAAAACAATTGGATGCTGCTGCTGCTGCTTTTTTCTGCCGATTCTATGAATTAGAATACGCGTCTCACGTTCCACGTATACAAAATTTGTATGAAAATTTGTACAAACATAACAAACGAAACTGTCGCTTAATTGTAACTATCAACAAGCCGAACAGCGCGCGCTTGCGTTTGTGCGCTCCCGTTTTTCATGTTGGAAAAATTATCACAAATTCCAATTGTTGTGCGCAAATATGATGCAATTCGATTTTGTTTTGTCTGTTATTTTGCTTTTCTTGCCTATTTTAAAATGGAAATTAACAAAATGAGCATTTGTTTTGTTTTTTAAATTGCTACTGGTCAGTAAACATCGATTTTTTTGTTGTTGTTGTTCTATTAATATTATTTTTTCATTCTCTTGGCTGTAGTCCATTAAATCGTAACGAGAAAAATTCCACAATCGCATTCTGTCGCACGATCGTTTATTTTGGTCGTTCAGCCGATCGGGTCGACTGGCTGGTTGGTTCGGTCGATCGAGTGAATCGAATGGCGCACACGCATGCAAACCATTTGTAATAATGATGCTTGTGATTGTTGAACTGTTAAAAATGCTGTACATGTGTCATTTCAACATGTTGTTAGTCAAGGAATATCTTTCGTTCTCGGATAGTGAAGCGAGACCATTCATTGCGTTTGGCCAGGACTCGTTTGCATATACGCTATGCAAATCGCGATCATTTGCTCTCTTTCTCTACCTCTAGTTGGTGCTCTTCACGCAGTTCATTCAGATCGATACCCATACCCGAACGCGCCAACACACACACATAGAGCGCAATAAGGAAATATCATGGGCAAAGAAATATTTGAATGTTCAATTTACTGAAAGCTTGAATTTTAATTTAAAATGTGACTCAGGAAATACCAGCCTCCTTCTAGATCTTAATCGTTTGCCATGCCGATGATAAACTTCAGCAAACGGTTTAACCCACGTTTCAATCCAACGAAATATCCTCATTATTATTTACATTTGTTGCAACAACTAATTCAATAGCCCAACCAAGTCTGCACCAAAAAGACAATATTTGCCCAAGAATTTCACTTTAAATTAGCCATAGAGATAAATATGTTGGCTACGTTTGGTGTATGCGTTCCACACAGTTCACACACAATCGTTAACAATTTGCATTTGTGCTCGATGCAGTAATCAAAACGGTGATAGCCATCAATCGATTGCCACGACAATGCATATTTAATCGGTGTGGTGAAGTTGTAACGAACGCGCGCATCAATCTTGCTAACTTTATTTGGTGATGTTGTCCGGTGAGAGAAGTTTTTCGCATGAGTTTTTCTCTTTCTTGCGTACAACACTGCCGGGCGAAAGTGAAAAGTAGCGAAACAGTTGCGGTGGCTAGAATCGTAAAAAATAATTGGCCAAACAGAAGCAAACGACAAATAGTTACGGTGTAACATAAATGGTAGCTCAAATTGCACTCGATTCAACAAAAATCGCTATTCAGCCCAGTTCTATTGCTCTTTCAATTGGAAAACAAACATGGAAATATACACAGAAAATTTCCATTCTTTCGAACCATTCACTGAACCCATATAATTGGATATAATTCACCGATTACTTTGTATTGGTGGCGTTAAAATAATTCACCGGTCGTAACAGACGATCGCGTTATAACGATCAGAATCATTCCAGGTTTAGACGATTCACATTTCAAACAAGCTCATTACACTGCTTTACAAATTCAACCACGAAAAACTTGCATGAAAATAATACGTACCATCTTTTACAAGATCAAGTCCATGGAATAAATAGGAACACTTTCAACCTTTGATCAAATCTTCGATCATATACACTTTATTTCATGCTTTCTTTTGATTTATTTATAAAAATGCATTTAATCAAAAATTCTAACGTTCCTAGTTTTGAACAAAAAAGAGATTCTTAATGTTTTATCGCTCAATCTTTGAAGAATTCATAATAATTCTTGCATTTTTGCAACATCTCTTTGGTCGGCTTCATCAAATAGACGAATGCTAAAAGAGAGAAAAAAAGAAAATTGAAAAAAATTAAAGCCTTTAATTATATGGTTCAACTAGGCTGTCAATTGGATAAAATTTAACAGTTTTCCTTAATTTTTGACCAAACAGAGTTCATTTCAATGGAAAAAATCCAATAAAAACCTTTCACGTTGTTCTGCTTTGCATTCATCAGTTCAATGCGCCTTTTATAAATAACTTTCCGGGTTTTGCGAAAGTTTTTCGAATCTTTCTCGACATTATCGAATCCGAAAAATCTATACAAAATGATGAGTACAAGTATCGATGCCACAAGCCTAAAAATCATTTATTGATCCAAAAAAAATGATTTAATTTTTTCACTGTTTCAAATTGAAATACTCCAAAATGTCCTTCACAAAACCTTTTAAACTTCCCAAAGGCCAAAAATTCCCAAATCTACGGTTCTCGTTGGAATATTGTGCATCTAAGGTGCTTAAAATGTAAATTCAACCATAGAGTGTTTTTGTTTTTAAATTTTTTTTCGATTGAACTGATTGGTGTGACTAGACTAGATAGAAATGTGATATTTGACTAAAGTGATAGGGTGAAGTGAAATAAATTGAGTTGAGAACAGAAAAGTTGAAATGAAATCAAGTTTGCTCACATTAAACCAAATTGTCAATGAAATACAACTTCCGCAAATGATGTCTCGAATAAAACTGATTGTCGAGTGCACTCCGAACAGTTGAATGTATCGCTGCACTTCATTTGTTATATAGCTTATTCGTATCTTAATAACCATCCTAATAATTTTGAGAGATTATTGAGATCCGATCATAATACCGATAAATCTTAATAACGCTATCAACTTTTTATCAGGTTATTAACTATATTCAAATAATAACGTTACCGGATGAATCTTAATAATATCGTTTTGAAGTTATTAAGATCGAATCCTGGTAATTTATCAACATTCAATCTTAATAATCATCAAGTTCTGGAAGTGGGTTTTGAAGGATCCTCAGGATCGACCAGAACTGCTCCCAGTTCTGGAAGTGGATCTTCAGGATGGGCCAAGGGCAGTGTCAAACCGGATCTTGAATGTTGATAAATTATCAGGATTCGATCTTGATAACTTCCCAACGATATTATTAAGATTCATCCGATAACGTTATTATTTGAATATAGTTGATATCCTGATAAAAAGTTGATAGCGTTATTAAGATTCCAACATAATAACGATATCGAACGATATTTTTAGTTTATTACGATATCTTGATAAAAAAAAATCGTGAGCACAGCTATAATTTGTTATGCTCTGAAAAGTTTGTTGAATTGTTCTGCTTCAAAAGATGCACAGAATATTACGCGTATTGATAATGCGTGTTTATTTGACAATCAAATGGCCGTGTTCATGATGCATGTTTATCTCTATTCAAGCGGATATTGTATGCCGCAATATTCATAGCGGCAGACTGGGAGAGTGAGCGAGAGGAGAGGTAGACATCGTAAATATTTCAAGAATTTGTATATAGCATAATCGCAAGCGATGTCTTATCGTACGCACTTTAGCTGTGTAAGACATAAAAATGTTTTTATTTCGCTCTTTTTGCTTCTCGTTCAATCGCTCTCTCTCTCTCGCTCTCTCTCCCTCTGTGTGATTTGAGTCGTTTA